TATATATATATATTATATATATATATATATATATATATATATATATATATATATATATATATATATATATATATATATATATATATATATATATATATATATATATATATATATATATATATGTATGTATATATATATATATGTATATGTATATATATATATATAAACGAGGACCTTAGCTGGGTCTAACAAAGTCAAAAGTATATATAAAAAAGGCCTTTCACTGGGTCTAAAAAATTCAACAATAAAATTTGAAAAAGCCTTTAGCTGGGTCTAACAAAGTCAAAAATATATATATTTGAAAATTTATCATGAGAAGAACATACTCACATACACGTTTGTAGCACACACTTAAAATGACAATATCTCGGTAACTGTGTATAGGAAAACACTCGAATATGCAGTAGTAATCACATCGAAAAGGCATAATACAAATTGGCATTTCCGTCGATATAGTATCACATATACAATAGAATCGCGAGCTATATACCACAAAATATGCTTGGAACCAGAACAATACAGGTAGAGATATACAAAAACGGTATATTGACGTGTTTTGGGAAGAAGTCCGCGATGCGCGTACTTCGTTCGAAACTGCGGGGGTTTCGGCAGATATCTTCGTCGCCTCTTTTCGTGAGACCATGGTGTCCCACAAGGAGGGGCTATTAGGTGAGGTGACACCAAACCCGTTAATGAGCAGTTTTTATAGCGGCTCATCAAACCGAAGGAAGAAATTGAGCTGCTCATTTCCAAGTGGCCCAGTTCAGCGCAATGAGGTGCTGCATATGCCATCTGAACTTAATCGAGAACACACATAAGAACCGCCTGAAGAATGGCGATCATGAGCGTGGTAGAGGTCGTAACCGATTTAGGTCGCACTTCCGTTCACCACGAGAGCGCTCTCCCGGTGACTATCACAGGAAGAATGAGAATAGACTGTATTCCAAATCATGGAAGCGTAACTAAAACATTCAAAGTCTGAAGAATCTGAGTCTGATAGGGACTTTCACGCAAGCGCTCACACAAAGATAAGCAAAGGCGTAGCAGGTCGTACGATAGTTCGTCGTACTCACGTTCGAAACGTCGTGAGCGCGGTGGGGAGAAAAGAAAAGAGGGGTGTAGGAGCGATTGGCACCAGCCCCAATCGTCAGAGTCAGATAATGACGTAGCCTACAAAGTATGTCATAGTTACAACCATACTACTGAGGAATGTTCTCGTTACGGGTTCAGCGCGGGCTACGTCAAGACAGAAGTCGCGTCGGAAGTGAAAGGGTACGGTGGTTTCGGCTATAGCAGGTGCTGTGAGTACGTGAGCGTAAGTTATTTCTGGTTGCACATTTAACCTTGTGACAATCCGCATTAGAAAGTCTCAGCCACTCAGTCTCAGTCTTAGGCCACATCCCAGAGTCAAAAATTAAAACCGCGACGCAGAAGGGAGCCTACACAAAGCATTTAGAAACACTAGCAGTATATACTGAAGGCCTCCGTAGCCAAAACCTCGAGTTTGTTTTTTCTCCTTCTGCGAAATCGTGATGCCTGTCACTGTACAGAGGATCGCCAAACCTACATGCACAAACAATCTGACATTTCAGAGTTTTCGTCTCCAGCCTTCAAGTTTTAACCAATGAGAGAGAAACAGTCTTGTTTGACGATTCAGTCTATACACCCAGTCCACACTACAGACTTCAACTCTGACCCTATACTTGAGGGAGAGTGAGAGTCTACAGGTCTCAGACCAAATTTTACAGCAAGAAGCCCTCTTAATTTCTAGAAATCATCACATGGTTAGCTCACTCCCGAGAATCAAGTTATTTGAGTCACTCCCGAGAGCTGATTAAATTTGCCAACCAACTCGCGAGAGTTGATTAAGTTTGTCAACCGCAACATTCTATATATAAAAAGCTGCGTCCCTATGTGATCACAACCTATGCGGAAAGGCATCATGTGATCAGCCTGAGATTTAGTTGCAAAAAAATGTCAATAAAATAGTATCGAAGTGTTAAAGTGTCCTGCAGAAGGCTTTCAATACAGACCATATGAGTTTCTACCCTGGCCAACCCAAGCGGCTGAACGCGAACTCAAACACATTACGTAATTAAACCAAAGGTAAAGTCAGAAATAGATACATACATTCGCACTTTATTTAAAGTGTACCACATTACACTCTAACAGCTCACATGCTCTCTGAGCTCGATGTTTCGGCGCGGCATGAATATAAGGGTCCACCATTAGAAGGTATTGATGGCCCATTTAACAAAGACACATTTAAAATAGTGCTATGGGATGACCTGGGGGTATACATGGACATCTTGGACGGCGCCTACACGTTGGCTGAGGGGCATCCGTTTTACGTAGTTGAAAACGTTTCGATAGGGTGCGAGTTGCTTAATGGATACGACCAAATAAAGCACTCTAGATAGGCCACTGATGTGGATCGGAGACATGTTGTTGTTGGTACCCTAGTCGGCGATCAAGTAGTCATCGCTATAGGATACGAATGTTCCATTGAGCTCACACGTTAAGCTTTTACTTGGATATATGTTTTAGGGTTTTTAGGATAAGCGCCCCAAGAATGGGTCAACCGCAGTCAAACCCCAGGTAGCACATGAGAGACTCAAGTCCTTCATGAAGCAACCTCCGACCAGTTCTGTTGGTATATACCCCAAGAATGGGCCTCCCTTAGCTGATGAAAATACGAGGGCGCGTGATGAGTGTATCACATCGCCAACGCAGGTGTTGGTCTCAAGACCTAAGTCCTCGATTAAAAACCCAGCTCCGCAGGTACAGGCCCCAAAGGGTGCCCAACTGTAGTTGATGCTCAGGACCTTCATGCTGTGCTTCTCGCACAAGCAGTGAAACGGCGTAGCCAAGTCTCCCGTGACACAGGACATAACTCTGTTCCGACCAAGGTTATCCCCCAGGCCAAGGGCGTAGAAGGCGTATACCTTCTTTGGCTTTCGGGTATGGTCAGCCGTATTGACTTACCCAACCAAGTATTAGAAGAGTTGGACAATGGGATCGACGGGCGAACAAGTGCCTCGAGCTTGAGCAATCAGATCTCCGACAGCTTGCCAAGGAGGTCAATAAACCTGAGGCAGAGCATGCCCACCTGGAAGCTCTAATTGAAGGCCTCACATATGACTAGGAGAAACACCGATTCATGGAAGTACATCCGGTCAAGCTTTACCCGTGACACCCGATTGAAGGCGGATTCCGGCTCACATACGCAGTCACGAGAACCTTCTTTTAGACCACCCTGAGATGGTGGCCATGAAGGAGAAGCTCTTGCAAGGCAAGAAGATGAGAAGGTACTGTGGTACGCCAAGCCCCTCATGGTACCTAAGAAACCCAGAGTCGCCCCTCAGACCAAGGATGACTGGTGTTTTTGTACCAACTTTGCCAAGTAGAAGACAAAGCTTAAGCAAGACTTGTTTAATATTCCAACAGAGGGTAAGATGTTTGGACATATTGCTGGCAAGCCTTGGGTCTCCGTCGTAGACTGCGGGAATGCGTTCAACCAAATCCCGTTGGAGCGTAAGAGCAAGGACATTCTGACTTTGGACTCAGTAAGACAGGTACAAGTATCTTACCCTTCCATTTGGAAGCACCGAAGCGTCGTGGCGACTCCAAGAGACACTGTATCGTCTCTTCGATGAGCTCAAGGGCGTCAATTGGTACACGACATCGTCGTTACGACCGTTGATGCATCGGAATAATGGGATCAGCTTATAGCGTTCTTTGAGCGCCATGACAAGTACGATATCCAGTTTGGATTTTTTTTAACCATAAACCCTAACAAAAACATTGGTCGGCACAAGAGTCCGGTTACAATTTTAGGGCAGTGGTGCAATGATCAGGGCGTTACTATTTCGGCGGACAGGGTTGTCTGCGCTTCTCGAGGTTGACTGCCCGGACAACCGAGATCGAGTCCGGGCATATATCACACTGTTGCGTTCTGGTAGCGGTATATTGACGGTTTCTCCCGTATCCTTAAGCCCATCTCAGCTCTTTTAAAGAATGAAATCCGTTAAAAGTGGAGGGCTGCCCAGCAGAAAGCGTTTAGCACCATCAGATGTGTGTGGTACTCGCCGCGTGGGCGATTGTATCAATTCGCGGATGCTTGTGAGCATATCGATCTTGGTGGGGCCAGCTATATTCTCCACAGCGGGGAGGTATGGCCAGTAGCATATTTCTCTTCGAAGTTTTCGCAGCCTAGCTTAACTATCACGTTACTGACAAAATATAGAATGGCTCGCGCACGTCTATGGCCTTCACAAGCACTGGACGGTACTCGGCAATTCGCACCTCCCAATTTTCATCTTTGCAGATCATCAAGCCTTGCTGACCATCTGGCATAGAGAGTTCTTTGCGGATGACCTGCGTGGTCGACGTCAAGCACGTTGGCAGAAGATGTGTTGTGATCGGGATGTGTACCTTTTGCACATACGAGGATAGACCCCTGCCCTTGGATGGGCCCTGTTGGTGCTTAGTCGGCAAACTCCAGACGGCGAGTCACGTGGCGCTACCCAGTAACCAATTCGACCCCCCCCCCCCGTATAGTAGCGAGTACATGGCCAACCGTAAGCCATTTTGCTACAGCGAAAAAGTGTAGGGTTTGAGAGTAACTGAAGAAATACGACCAAAGAAAACAATAAACCTTTACTCATATGCGAATCTCTTAGCTAGGTGAAATCCTAGGCTGAAGGACTCGCATTGAGTCTTTTTTTGTATTTGGTATTTCTACACTAGAGACTCAAATTTTACTCGAGTGTTTCTCTCACAAACGGAGGTCAGATCCCGCTATATTTCTGATCACTCTATTATCAGAAATATTGGATCCTGGATCCAAAAATCAGTTTTTTGGGGGGTGGGGGGGGGGGGTTGGATAATCTGACCCTTAGATGTTACAGCTCCCCAACTTTGTACTTCAGAGTCTGCGAAGGAGTGGAAAGTGACATCTCACAGTACTAGTTTATTTAGAGGTTGGTGTCTTTGTACAGGGAAAAACACCTCCTTTAGTGGGTTAAGAGGAAAAACCTGCCATTGCTCGCTGATCACTCATTATTGCTCGTTGCTGTTGACTTCGTCGGCCTGGATTGCCTTTGCTTGTGTCTGGTATGCTGTCGGTATAGTGTAAGAACATCAGCATCTGCGTTGTCTGATTTGTGCTTCCGGGTATGCTCCCCATCTGTCTATTGCAGTAGGTACTCCTGGGATCCATCACTTTGGTTGGACGGTCTGAGGTTAAGTATCGAGGAGAACTGAGTCTCCTTGATGGTTGTACTTGGCTATTGGAGGTGAATTCCTCCAAAGCATTAGCCTTCTTGACTAGTCCATTTATTTCATCACAGACCGAGTTAGGATATTCCGGGGCTTAAGTCCCATCAAGATTACCGACAAAATACTCGTTGCCCTCCTTGCTTACTATTTTGTATGGTTCTCCGTATGGTACTGTCATTTTATTCGTTTCACCTTGGTAACGAACCACTACAATGTCTCTTCCTGGAAGTGTACATACTTCTTTTGGTACTTTCGGTCATATGCTGCGCGCATTTTCTCTTGATATTGTGCAACATTTGCATCTAGTTGTGGTCTAATCGATTCTTCTAGGTTATTCGTTTCCCATGGCACTGTTGTACTAGGTGCATTGACTGGTTTGTTATAATCAGTCTGTTGGTTTTATCTTCCTTCATAGTACACATTGAATCGCAGTGATTTGTGTTTTAGTGATGAACGGAGGCTGTGGCCCATTTGAACAAATGAAAGATATGAACACCAGTTGTCTAGACTTTTTTCACCGAATTTCTTCAGTAAGGGTATGAGGTTGAACACTCGTTTTCTCCCATTACCTTGGGTTGATACGGTTGGGACACTAGCTGTTGTGACGGGGTTTGCTCGATGACTTTCGAGAGTATGTCATTCACATTTCCTGTACCTTGATCCGTTTGTATGACTTGTGGAAAGCCATGTTCACACATGATTGGAACTAGTGTTCGTGCGACAGTTGCCGCTGATTTGTCCGTCATTGGTCCAAGTATGACATATGTGAGTGTACATCGAGCCAAACTAGGACGTATGTGTTGCATCTATTCGGGTCTACCAAGGGACCGATGGTGTCCAATTTATCTTGCCGCCTGGAAATGCGGCTGTTATTGATTGTAAGGGGTGGAAGCCCGCCCTTCTTGTGAGTTTTATTTTTGAGACATGGTACACAGCCTTTCTGGCGTGACCATGTGTGGCCATCTAATTGAAATTTGTTCACTGTTTCTTCATCGATATAGTGACCCACAGTGTGATATTGAGCTACTAGGGCAGCCCTGTCCTCATAAATGTCTGTCTGGCTCTGCCGACTCGTTCCCGGTTTGTACCGAAGCGATCTTCATGGTTGGATGTGCTAGTTTTTGGTCAAAGTATGGTGACATTGTGCCTATCTTGGCTACTTGTGTGATCCCCCATGGTATTTTGCCACAGCTTGTCGTGCCGCCTTTCAGGAACGTGGTGTTTGATTTTTCAACTATCATCGAGTCTTGCTCTAGCAGTGAAAAGAATGTAATCGTTGGTCTCGTGGTGCGGGAAGTAAGGATAAAGATTGGCAATTTATATCATTTGCATTTATCAACAACGTTTCTTCATCTGTATTTACACTGAGCCTGTCAGCCAGGTCAATCATGTTTGCTTCCGCCAACCAGTTGTTTCAGTGCTCAAGGCCATCTGTGATGTCTTCTACCTTGCCAGAGGTAATGGACAATCTTGCTACTTGCAGATCGTTCCTGACACGCTCCTCAGCCTGCTTGATGTGATTCGATGCCTTCACATTGACTGAAGCGATGTGGGGCTGGCATCACCTTACAATAAGGACATGCACGCTCCTCGCGCACCCCTTTCTTCTCTTGGGCTTGTCCTATTGGTTTGGTTTGCTTAGGAGCACCGTTGTCCGGTTTGTGCCGTTTGGTCGTAGTGGTTGGGCTACCCTGAGACTGGCTTTGGGTGGCTGTCTGCGAGTTGTGTCGCTTGCGCTTTCTATACAACCGATCTGCCTGCACTTTGGCTGCCGCTCTTATGGTTGCTTCAGTAAGGGAGTAAAACACTGTGTGTTTCATATCGGACAAGTGACCTTCACTTCCATCAGGTTGCTTGTCTGCCTTGATGATGGCATCTACTTTCTCCTGCTGCCCATAGTAGCTGAGTGCTTGGTATCTTATGATCTTGAGGATTTGCATGTGTATAAACTCTTTGTCCGAGTTGCGGTAACGCTCCTCTAACACTTGCATTGTTCTATGCAATCGCTCAGTGTGCACCTCCACATCCAGTGTCTTATTCTGCACGTCGTTGAGAAACTTCTCTAACAGATAGTCTACTAGATGGTGTCTGAGTCTGTCAATAATGATTCTATTGAATAGTTCAGGATCCCTGTAGTGCTTGATCATCTGTGTTTCAAAGTCTCGTATCTCATTGAGCAATGTCTTGGTCTTCTCCGTTACGTCAGTGTATTCTATTAGATATCTCACTAGTGCTGGGTACTGACATACTGGCATAGACTTGGCTAAGAATAGGTCTCTGCATTATGTAGTAAACTCTATAATGTCTTCACAATTTTACATTTTGAAATAACTGTCTCTGGATAACTCCGGAAATTTTGAGGTCTTTCGTAGTTAAGAAAGTGCAGGTTCATTGACCCTATCGCCTAAACGTGAACGCATGAATTCTAACTCACTAATGCTCTGACTGATTTGAACAAGTTGATCTTCCTCATCGTCAGCCACACTCCTTGATAGCTAAATCGTATCACCTTCTGAGTTCTGTGTCGACGATTGGCATGTGTTGTTTTGGCTGTTGGTCGCGGGTGCCTACTCTCATTTTGTGTAGAGTTGATATAGGCACCGGTGCTGTCTGTTCCAATTTGTACACAAACCCTAACCAGGACGTGATTGCCCTGACAGATGCTCTAGTCTATTTCTAACCATGACGTCACCACGTGATGTTCGGTCCTGTACCGAACTGTGGCTATGTTAACGTCACCCCTTGATGTTCGGCCTTGTACCGAACTGTGGCTATGTGGACGTCACCACTTGATGTTCGGTCCTGTACCGAACTGTGGCTATGTGGACGTCACCACTTGATGTTGGGTCCTCTGACTCAGTTTGTCCCGAACTATGATAATGTTTTTAGTAACCTTTATTATTTTTTTCTGTACCGAACTGTAGCTATAGTCACGTACTGAAATGTTCGATCACCCCTTGTCCTTTGTTTGCGGTCCTGTAGGACACTTACATATTTAATTAAGATGTTGTTGTGGTTTTTAGTGACCCTCTTGTGCAAAATGTCTGCCAATCACATTTGTACCACGCTGTCATCTGTCATCTGATGCCTTGTGTCACCCCTATGTTCCTTAATGTTCTTTCTTGTAATCCTTTCTGTTTGTACTCTCAAACTGTAGGGTTGTTTATGTGGTTTCTGATCTGTAGTATTATACGAGATCACTTGTTGTTTATAGTTATTTCTATAGTTTTATCGTGTTATGTCGGTGCTTCATTTCATTCTAGTGCGAAAATGTTAATGCCATGTTCGTCGTAGTTGGATATCGAAGTGTTCTTCCCTCAATGCTACTTTTTATTAATCTGTTATCATGTGCTATATGCCAGACTGTGTTGGCACTGATTGTCCTTGTCTTATGCTTTCTCCCTAGCACATTATTGTGCTCAGTGGATTACGAATGCATATATGTAATTATGACGTGTCTTGGTCGTTGTGTAAATATTATACCGTGTATGTGTGCTAATATTGTCTGTATGCTCTAAAGTATTCTTGGTACGCACTGGCCGCGTGTGTTTGTGAACACCTTTCGTCTCCCTTTTTAGTCTATCTTGTGTGTGTATCGATTTGATGTTATGTCACCCTTTGTGTGTGTACCTATTTGATGTCATGTCTCGTCACTTTGGAACTAATTGTTCTTGTGTGTCATGTCATTGTAGTCACTGTGGACTAAATAATTTCTTGATATGCATCTATGGTCGGTTGTTTCTAGATATGTTTGCTTTGAATCACATTTTGACTTGCCTCAATCACCATTTGATGCTGTGCGCATCACGATTGTTTTTGGTTTGTCTGATTCTGCGGTTGCGTTTTGATCGGTTGTCCACGAAATCTATGTTTATTGGTGTTGTGTGCTGCTTCTGTTTGACCTATAAATTATGTGTTACCTACGTGATCTGGTGTAGGTTTTATGATCATTGTTCCAATCTTGAGTACACACTAATTGTTGAGGACTTCTTGCAATGTTCGAGACTAAATGTTATATGTTTGAACACCCTTCTCGATGTGATCTGTATTTTTGTGTATGACTTGATGTCATAGGTTGTGTCTTTAGGGTAGTCTCATTTCTACTTATTTCTGTTTGGCATGTTCCCACTTATTGCATTTGTTTGTGAAGTGATCTTTGGAGATACTGAGTGTCCTTGTGTTCTTCCTTCTGTGCGTATATCACCTAAACTCTCGTTAGAGTGAAATTAGATATTATTGAACTTGTTTTATGATTTTAATACCATGTCACTATACTATTTGTTTTTTGTGGGCCTATTACGGACTGTTTTGTCTGAGCCCTGGCTCTCTGACTGTTCTAGTTTGTGTGCACTATGCTTATTGTTTCTTGTCTAGGGGGACTTTGGTGCTGTGAACTGATATTCTTTTTGGGGTTCTGACGCCAGGATGTTTTTCTTATTTGAAAATCCCCAACATTAATAAATTAATCACTGTGACAGCTTATCAATTTTTCACTAGTTTATCCTCCTTATACTTAACAACTCTTCATTGCGACACGATACTTTCACCTGGGTTATTATTAACTCCACGCTTGAACACGACACGGTTACGAACACGATACTGTTACCTTGTTCGTGCTTCCTCGGTGACTGTGAGCAAGGAGTGGCCCCGTTTTCACTTCTTCGACTGACTTCTTATTGGGTTTCTTCATTCCCAAAATGCTGCTAACCTCTGATGGTTGAAAGTCGCCTGCTTCATTCCCTTCACTAGTTAGAGTATTCTTGTCTTCCGTGTTGAAGCCTCTTCTTGTCTGTCTCTGTTCTTAAAATAAAGTTTCTTGGAGATTCTTCTTAAAATACTTCACTCGTTCTTTCTTTTCGTATTTTGAGTGGAAATTACTTGACTTATCTAAGTAAGGAAATTGTAAAAAATGTAGAGTATGGAGAGTAGCTGAAAGGTACAAGACCAAGGATACAATAGACCTCTTCTCCAGTACGGTTATATCAGCTAGGAAAGCCCCTAGCGTGAGAGAACCGAACTGAGTCTTTATTTATGTTTTCTAATTCACTAGACTCAGGTTTCTACTTGAGTGTTTCTTTCACACGTGGAGTCCAGGTATAACTTACCGGCTCTACCGTGAATATTTCTGATAACTCTGATATCTGGAATATTTGAATCCTAATTTCAAAACTCAATGTTTGATGATTCAGAGGTTTTGGGATTTGTATCGGCCTTTTGATAATCTGGTCCCTAGATGCTGCACAGTCCCAGTAAACTGATTGATTTGGATATGATAAGAATTGTTGTTTACACAGTGTCAAAGATTTCATTACAAAGACCCCACTCACTTATACATAAAGACCAATACCGACACCAGTATATTGACACTTATATTGGAAGGTAGGCAAGGTTTGTATGTGCTAATGTAATACACATGTCTAAAACACTTCTTGGGAATTCGATTGAAGACAATACTGGACAGTATGAACAAGACACACACTTAAAAGTGATGTTGCGCAACAAGTGCGTAATCACTGGGTAAGATGTGCGTATTTACCGATATAAGTGTGCAAGGTTCAACTGATATGACATGATTGGAGGAAGATGATCACACTTGCCTATTATGTACAGTGCTAGCTAAGGTGGTTACCTTATTTAGAGCGTTGCGTGAAGAAGGAACATAGCTGTGCTGACTGCATAGGCGCAGATGGTTGATGATTTCGCAATTGACGAGAGAATGGCTTGTGGTTAGGCGAGCTTAGTAAATTACATGCTATGTATCAGGTTCGAAGGACAGGTTCGAAACTCAGATAAGAGATAGTATAAATAGAGTTGTGAATATGTTACAATTATCACCTACTACTGAATCAACAACGTGTGTAGTAAATTGTGCAATAAACGAGATTTTACCACCTAAGTAGGTCGTTTACCTGCAGAAATATACGTTCTCCGTGTACTCAATACGCGCACTACAGCTAGACACGTTATACTCTATAGAATTCACTATTAGACTATACTTTGAAGAGCTAACTCAATTTCGGATGCTGCCAAAGGACATTTCGGCAAGGTCGCCGGAAAACAGAAGTATGGTGCGAGGTAGCATGAATTTCTGCTGGAATGGAATCCGGTTCGGCTGGCCGTAAAAAAATGACCGATGCTGGACTGTCAAGGACAGTGCTGAGAATCCGAACCGTTTGCAGGACTTGGATGAAATTATTCTCTGGTTCTTCACGGAGGAACTTTCTAGCACCTTCAAATCCGCCGTAGGTGCCGGTTGAGCCAATGTTGGAAGCTAAGACTTTGAAGGTGCTGCTCGTGGGTCCGTCATCGCAACTAAGGATTTTGGCAGAAAGCACTGAAGATGATGATATTTTGAAGATGCAGTACCTTAAGGAATTCAGACTGTGCGCTTTTAAAGCGGTGCTATTGAATACTTGGACCAACAGCCTGAAATGCAGCAATTCAATGAAGGGCATTGAGGACTGGAACTTGGCACGGTGACGCAGAATGCGGCGGAGGGTACCCAACCGATGGAAGAACCAACTGCTATCGTAACATTATCGAATAAACTAATGGGAGAAGCCAAACATTAAATGATGCATCGGCGATAGTCCATGAAGCAAGATTCCTGGATGTAATTGCTAACTTCCGGGACTTGGTAGAAACTGGGGACCATGTAGCGTGTCTTATAGCTCCGGTGCTTAGCGATTCACTGGTTAGAGCGGGAATTAATGCCATGATTAAGTATGTCGCCTTTGGGGAGCAAGTGATGAAGACTATCAGAGCTTTGGAAGTAAACATACGCAACTTCATACTTGTCTGTTACCCCAAGGAACATGCACTGCCTGTTACCCCAAGGAACACGCACGAGTGATTGCGGAATGCGTCAGGCGGGCTGCCATTGGTGGTTAAAATCCAGAGTGACCTGTTGGAATCAACTAGATCACGTTCGGGCAAGCCAGCAGTAAGTGCTGGGTGCTTTAGGCCAAGTTCCGGGCAGTGAAAAGTATAGAGGATGTCACAACTGCAAAAGTCTGTTGCACTTGGAACGCAACTGTCCCACGAAGGAAGGAAGTCCAGGCAATGGCCCATCACGGAAATAAGTGAAGGCCACGCAGAAGGGGATGGGGCAGCAGTGCAAGAAGTGGGCTAATGAAGCAGTCGTAGCGGCGGCAGCAAATATTATTCAAGGCAATGTGGTGGGTGCAGCCACAGCCAAGGAAGCACCTGTGAATCCAAGAACAAAAGCAAGTGAGGGAACCATAGGAAGTATTATGTTTGTGGCACCGGAGGCCCAGTGACTAAGCAGCGTTGCCAATGTAAAGGTGCATGGAATAGTGGTGCTAGGTTACTTATACTCGGGTACTACTCCGTCGCTGATTACATCAGCACTGGCAGAACGGAAAAACTTGAAAATATCAGTATATCCTGGAGAGAAGCATACGGGCATAGCGAAGATGGAGGAGATCATGCCTGTAGAAGATGTACAGGTCAAGGTTAGAGCTGGAACATGGAAGTCTGTTTCAGAGAAGTGCTAGTTGCTTGTTAGGTGGTAGGAGAGGTTGCAGGAGTCACGTTGGAACCTTACGTGGAAGAAGGAGGTCCTAGCAGTCGTACCTGAAAAAGAAATGCTGAAGGTAGCAAGACGGTACGGTTAAATCAGGGACGTCCGTCTCTACAGATATACCTGTATACGAGAAGATGGAAAAGAATGCAGAGTCAGGAATAGGGCACTCCCTTAATTGTCTAGAAGAAAAGTGCTGCATGGCGGAATGGATGCAGGAAGATGAGTATGAAGTATGGGACGTAGCACAAGACCCTGATCTAGACATACATGGCATCTGTGAGTTAACTGATAGCTGAGGTAGCAGTTAGAAGCTCTCTTACAGTTGTTTAAGGACTTGGTGTACTATGCGATGCATCTTAAGTTTCCCAAGGTATGTAGACAAACTGGTGTTGTACGAGAAGGAGGGGGCAGTATAACAATTCTTTAGTTATTTTCATGCCGATGATCAGATGAGGTGTGCGGTTCTGCATGAAAAGTTGGCGGCCTGGATGAGTACGGGTATCATTGAAGAAACTGAGAAGAGTGCGTGATGCTCAGCGCCTCACCTGGTCTTCAAGAAGCCTGGTGCGATACCAAAGACAGTTGATGACTGGAGATGTCGTGTCAATCTTAAACGAGTAAACACACAACTGAAGTCAGAACCCTACCATATCACACACACACACACACACAGTGTAAGATTATTTATCTAAGCTAAAACAAAGAGAAATACATTACTACGTTGGACATGGGTCTGTAAGCATTCTGCCAGTACAAGATAGCACCACAATCTCGCAAGTACCTGTTATTTGTTACTCCATTTGGTCGGTATGCTTTTGCAGGCATGCCGTTTGGACTAAACGAAGCATCATGACGATGCCGAGTGATGATACTGGGAGAGATCTTTGCGGGGCTGGACGATGTTGTGTGGTACATATACGATATTGTCTTATGCTCACGATGAACACAAGTGCATGGTAGCGTTACTGTACGCTAGTGTTAATTATTGGGCGTTTGATAGATTACCAAGGTTTAACTATGTGACCAGAGAGACAACTGCATGCGCTATTAGAGCTCACTGAACCTACGAATAAGGATTTGTTAACTTTTGGTATCACACAGTTGAGAGGTGGTCGGACTACGTATCTGATTTTGCGAGGATTATACATACAACACAACCACTAGCGATACCGCTCAAGGACGACAGCGTATTTGATTTTGTCGAGGCCCAAAAAGCAGCCTTTTATCAGATGGGTGAACTGCTACGTACATGTGCGATTCTGACTGAGCCACTGCCGGGGGAGCAGCTTGTCATATTTACTAATGTATACAAATCAGTAAAAGTGGGTGGGGTGCTGTGTCAAACGAGAAGGCGCGTATTTTCCGCTGAACTTCTTGTCCTCAAGGGTTGATATGGCACAGCACTTCTATCATATAACAGGTAAGAAAGCGTTCGCATTAGTGTACGGGATTTGGAAGAACATGTCGACGCTAAGGCGAAGTACAAAGACGATATTATTATATACAGATCACTTGCCTGGCAAACTTATCTAAGCCACAGAAGGTCCTTTGTGAACGATGTGCGCGGCAGACGTTTGCATAGGTACTACAATGGGATGCGTGATTTTGATGTGGAGACTATTCATGTACCCGGCTAGGATAATCTAGTAGCTGATGTTCTATCAAGACTGTGTGTTACAATCGACGCGATATTGCGAGTGCGGTCAGGGCGGTACCGATCTTTGTAAAAGCCGGGCCTCCACATTAGAATCTTGTAATATAAACGTACTCTTAATAGTACGTAAAACGTACTCTTAAAAGCACGTAAACTCAGTTTTCCTTAAATGGTTTTTAACGGTTTTATTAATTAATACCTTTTCCATTTTACAAATCAGATATTTGGACAAGGCCATTAGAAAGCCCCAGTAAAATACCAAATATAAGATTTGGTCTAGTTCTATTAATAGAACTATAATTTACTTTCCAAATCTATTTATATCTGAATACTTCGGGAGCGAGATGGCTCAACCGAACATAGGTTTCTAAGGACTAATAGCGTTGCTTAGGTTATCCTTCGTTCAGCCAATCAGATGTGCCAGTCTGATGAAGACTAAATCGGTAATTCTTGATAAGTGGCAAGTTATTGGTTAATGCAATAACTATGGACCAAGAGTTATTTTTTTATTTTTTTATTCTTTTTTTTCTAAAGATAGGATTTTATGAGTCTCTCGGATTCGCCCCAACGAAACATACGATAGTTTCTATTAGAGCGACAACGAAACACTAAATAAAATCCCTTCGGCGAAAACAGTACTGAGAGGATTATATATAGGCAATGTCTCAGCCTCACAATCCCTCAGAGTATTACTGTTTTCACGAGGCATACCTAACTTTACTAAAAGACTCATTTCGTTTATTTGCTTCGAATTTAATTATACTTAGACTTAACCTAAGCGTTTATTTACTCTAAGGCGTTAATATCGCCTTGATAAACCGAATCTTACACATTTTAAAGTTAGCAAAGGTATTAACTACTTAGACTACTTAAACGTAAAGGTAGATAACTACCTCGAATTTTTCCCTAAGCACAGTCATTCCTTAAGAGAATAAGACTGAAGTCATAAGTTAAGATTCTGACAAAGAAAGACAATACGCCTGCAAAGAAACGCAAGGCCGAACGTAAATAGATGGAGAGAGAAGCCGCTAGCGCTGTTGCCGATGCGTTTAACCGCACCGTAGCCGAAGCACATAACTCCGACAATACTAGTCAGGACAATGCCTCGGATAAGGATGTAGCCACTCCGATTAAGGAAACTACTTCTACAGATAGAGCCCGAGGGCCAACTATTGCCTCAACTTCAAAGCTTGCATTTACGAAGCCAAGAAGTGAGACAAGGGACACGTCTCAAGACGCCCCAACCAATTCTTCTAACGAAACTCAGAAAGAAAAGTACCCAATTATAAGGGAGTTCCCAATTGTAGGGGACAAAGACGAATCTCAGAAGGTACCTACACCGGAACCAGAAGAAGAGGCAAGCTCACGTGACGAACCCGAATCTACGTCCGAGACCACTGAACCAACGCGCATAAGTAAGTTAACTACTGAAAACACTGATCTTAAAAATCAGTTAGCCGCCCTTATGCAAGGCATGATTGTTGAACATGTAGATCGAATGTATGGATCAGGAAAACATGCACAGCACCTACGCGAGCATTTTCTCCGGGCACTACTGAAGCCCGACAGAAGTGAACAGAACGTCGACTGGCAATTACGCCAGAAAAGCGTAAGGACCTGAGCGCTACACCTGTGGCAGTTGAACCAGATGTGCTCAGCGTATCTATACCTTACGAGGTACTACCACCAGAACTCCAGGCTAATTATTCGCCTGTTCTAACCGCCGGCCATGAGTCGCCCGTCTTTGAGGGTATTATTGACCCAGAGGCAGGTAAAAATACTCCGCCACCTTTACCCAACTGGGATGACAATCGTCGGAAACCAGCTAAGGTTGGATATGTCATCCAGACGCATGAATCACCCAAGATCAAGATTATAATACCAACTACTATCCAAGGAACAGAGCACCGAAAGGCCTCGACCATGAACTTTACAAGGGGTAATAAACACTCCCGTAAACGTGTTAACGATGTCGAATTTAATCGCTTCGATCGCACCGCATTACACCAGCCCGCAGAGGATTTCCACTCTGACGAGGTGACCGAACTTAATAAATCGGTCGACGATTACACCATTAAAATGGAAATCGCCCATGACGAGCACCGTGCTGATGGCGTATCATATTTTGCTAATATGATCGCGATCAAGCAGAAGCGCATCGATCAGCTACTTCAGGCCCTACGTGGGCAAGACCACCGGGATAATCAGAAGTACAAGGGACAGATCAGTCGACTTAAGTCGAACTGGGATGCTAACAGGAAGCAGGTCGAGTTTATAAAC